GGAGGAAAGTAGAGGGGGAGGGGCGGAGAAAGCCGAAGGAGCAGCCCCAACTCCGAACGGCCCCGAGCGCAGCGAGGTGCCCAGTGGCTGGCCAACTAGAGCGTGCGCGCTCCTCCCCCGCCCTTTTCGGCGCAGCTGGAGAGAGAGATGCGCGTCGAGGAGAAAGGCTCCTCTCCTTTCCAAGAAGAAAATCTCAGTGAGGAACCACGCGTGACATCTCCTGTATGCTCAAAAGCTCATTCTCCACGGCTGCTTTCAGAAAAAGTCCAAGGACACACAACTTCCTAGTCACCAACCATCCACTCAGTTTTTCACATGACTCTAAATGCGGTAGCTCTGCGAGATGTGGTACCCGCCCGCACCTTTCCAACTACCACCCCTAACTCCCTTTTTTCCAACTCCCGGCTTTTCTCGCGAGACCCATACCTGCCGGCTTCGGGATTAGAAGTCGAAGCACAGATTTACAAATACCGGTCTCCCGGTTACGTTGCGAGGGCAACAGCCACGGCATGTTCCCCTGACCCCCCGTGACTGCAGTGCGCGCGCGCGGGGGCTGAGCAACAACGAGTGCAAGGATGGGAAAGGGAAGCTATGAAAGGGATTTTTGACGGCATGTAACCGCTAGGCCTGGGCACGTGCCCTGCGCCTCACCGGCAGGTGCAGTGTACTCTGGGAATTGTAGTTTTTATTCCCACCTCCAGTTCCACTCCCACCCTCAGCCTTACTTAGGCCTCTGGCCGGGAGGGGGATTACTGACGCCATTTTGCCAGGAACAATGGCCCTCGGCCCTGGCAGAGACCGGTGGGGGAGGGAGTAAGTTTTTAAGGGTTCTGTTAACCTTCCCTGGCCCCTTGGTGCCATAGCAACCCTTTCAGAAACTTGGCCCCGCCCCCTCACCGCTCCACAGGGCTCCTAGACTGAGCGCACGCGGAAAGGCCACCTCCCCCTGAGACTGGGTATCAACATCTCCTACCGTCCACCTCTCAGATCCTCTAGTTAGTATGAATGCTACCTCCTTAGAGCATTCACTACATGTTAACCTCAGGACAGCAACTTTGTTTAAGAACTGGTTCCTACACTGTATCAGACGCAATACAGATTGTTTCTGTCATTCCTGTATTAACAATCCTGGCTCCACAGAAGAGGAAACCGAGGCTCAGGAGGGGAAAGTGGACATGACTTGCTCAAGTTCACACAACTATGTATTGAAGAGTCGGAACTTGAACCCAAGTGTGCTTAGTCCAGATCCCAGGCATTTTTCAACACTCCTCCCCACACACACCTCGGGTGAGTCTGGTGTCACAGCCCCAGAATGAAAGCTCCTTAAGGGCAGGATTTCTTTCCCAGTGCCCCTTAAGCCTTAGTAGGATGCCTTGAGGGAAAGAGGCTGGAAAATGCGAGGCTAATATTTTCAACTGCACAGCCTAACCCTATCGCTGAGTTATACCAACCTCTTACCTGCAACACTTTTTTTTTTCTTTTTCTTTTCATAGTGTAGGCCTCAGAGCCTCAGCCTTTTTCAGCTTTAAAAAACTATCAATAAATGTAACTTTCCAGAGTCCAAATGGAGTGGAATGGTGGCACTGTGTCTTGTCTCTGCACCTTTCTTCTCAGAGGTTGCTTTTTAATCCCAATATTGCCAGAAAATGCAAGGAAACCAGACCTTGCCCTTAATAAACTCAAGTCCCCATATCCCAATTTTAATAATAGAGTGGAACTCTGAGGGAACAAAATTCATAGTTATAAGGTCCAGCTATTCCACCTGTGGAGATCTTCCTTTCTAGCTAAATTTGAAAGAACAAGTTTCTCCAGATAGTGCTACCACCCTACCTTAGAGGTCTCTGCTTTCCAAATTAGCGGTAGAATGAATGGGGTCTCCCCAAATCCTTCTTTCCTCACTGCCCCCCTGAAGATAGTCCCTTTCCCTGTTGAATTATTGACGACTGTGGGGAAAATGGGTAGCACAGCCAAATAACCACTTAAGGACAATATCAAAGGTTACCAAATTATTCCAAGTCTTTATAGGTCCTGACTCCCACTGAGATGGTAACTAAAAACTTGTATCCACCATTTTTATTTTTCAGTGACATTCTACTCCCACCACCACCACCACATACACCTCACCTTTAGGAAAAGCAAGAAGTACCTCCCTCAGTTGTCCCCTGTTCCTCTTTCTTTGTCTCTGAGCCTGATGATGTAATCAACACAGATCAATACTTGGAAGCATTAGCTTCTCAACCTGCTCAGATGTCAACCCATCCAAGAAGTCCCTCTTTGACAGCCAAACATTTGCTAAGTAAATCTAACGTAGTGTAACTTTTATAAACTTCAGAAATTAGAAAATCAAACAGTCTGCTTCTCATCTAAGTACAGGTCCTTCTCAATTTAGGCCTTTTATTGACATATGTGTTCTTCTGTTTGAAACAACCTGTCCATAACTCAGCACAAATGCCACTATAGGAAGAGAAGGGCATGGGCAGTTATATCTAGTCAACAACAAACATACAATAGAGAACATTCCCTTCTTACCCACTAGTTTCCAATGACTCTCAAGTGGAATTTGTGTGCTGTTTCTATTCATCAAATAGAAAATTTGACTTATATTAACCAGTTATATTTGGTTTTACATTATTCCAGGAAAACATCCTTCCAATAATCTACTTCAACTTATCTGAAGGGTCTGGTGCCAAGAGATTACAAAAACCTTCACTGGATCCATTTTTAGACCCCACATTCTGCAGGAATGGAGATGGGGAGTAGTTTCATGGCCTAGCTAGCTGTTGATCTTTTCCCTTCCACACAGGATAGTAACTCCTTCAATCAAGATGGAACCAAGATGAACCTCAAAGTTTACAATTAGCTGACTTCCACAGCCATGGGTAGAGTTGTGACCATTTCTAGAACTCAGTTTCTGACCTTGATCCCTCCTTTGACCAAGCTATTAGGAAAACAATATGTCTTTTTTTTTTTTTTTTTTTTAATTGACTGGATAAAGAGAGAGAGAGACGTTAATTTGTTGTTCTACCTATATATGCATTCATTGGTTGATTCCTCTGTGAGCCCTGACCAGAGGTTGAACCCAAAACATTGGTGTATTAGAACAACACTCTAACCAAATAAAATACACAACCAGGGCACAATATAACTCATTCTTGATGTTCATTTTCCTTATCCCAGGTGATGCCGTATTTTGGGGATCTTATGTAGTGCTCAGGTATGTGGGTGAAGTAAAGATATCTGCTTGCAGGTCCTTAGATTCTGTCAGTTACTGCTGAGCCCTCTGCCCACATGGGTCGTTTCAAGTGTTGTGGTCCTATTTAACATATCTGCCACACTTAGGACATGGAACTCAATGCCAAGGTCACCTGTTGGTCCATCTACCTAAACATTCCACACAGCCCTTCCTCTCTTGTCTTCCTGCCAGCCAAGGTTTGTTTTGGGGAGTATATGCCGCGTGAGCTCCCAAAGAGCTCTCTCATCCTCTTCTCCCAAAGGAGGGGGGAGTGAGAAAGAGAAGAATCTTTTCATAGGCTTGTGCAAATCTTTCTTCCTTTTAGTTTTCTGGCCCAGATACTGTGTCTCTGCCTCTGCACCCTAATCCCCCTTCCCTAAGGCTTATACTTTTGGAACACAAAAGCAAGAGAGACTGGCAGTGTATTTGTTTTCCTGACTTGCCACCTCCTTTCCCTGAGATATACCACAAAGCTGACTACTGTGGGGAGGGGGGGAAGAGAAAAGAGAAAAAGACAGGAAAGAAAAAAAAATCTAAATCTCAAAATAATATTGCAGCCACATTCTTCCTCTATTAAATCTTAGCATCTCAGCAAAGAAAATTTACCTCTCATTCAGATTCCCCTGTTCAAGACAGTAACTCCCAGGGCTCAGATAAGATACCTGGGTGATCTTTTTTCCAGTCAAGCCTTGGCACTGGTTAAACTTCTACCTGTACCATCTAGGGGCTGATAATGTCTTCCCAGGAGGCTCTCTCCTCCCAGCACAAGTTGAGTGTCCCCTAGTAAGAATAAGCATCCCCTACCTCAGAAGTGAGCAGCTATCTTTGGTTTAGTGACTGACTTAGAAATA